CTATAAGCATTTCTACATGCTCTATTTTTTCCATAGAATGTATTACCTTTGAATATATTATGTAGTTTTTTTTATTATATGTATTATTTATAGTCTATGTTACCTCACTAGAATATCATATCCAAAGAAACAGGGACCTGGGTCTACTTTGTTCACTAACATAGCCCAAGTGCCTAGCAGACTGACTGGCACATAGCAGGTACTCAATAAATATTCTTGGAATTAATGAATATTCTTTAGTTTTGAATAAATCCAAAACCAATGCCTCACTGAATAATTCGTACATACTCATGCATACACACATACAGAATTTAAATCCTATTTACTTCCAGTGCCTTTATTATCTGTTGGTAATCACTCAATGTATGAGTATAGACTTAAAATACCAGAGTGACAAATATTGGGCAAGTATTAAATATCTGTTTTAAATGAGCATATCATTAAAGATTGATATCAATGCTTTAACAATAATGCATTCAAATTAAATAAACTTTCCAAACAGAATATAGCAGCCAATGTGACCCTTGAATAGCTTGTATTATAAAACATAAAGATGCTGTCTTTGTTAGACAATTCTAGCAAAATACAGAAACAGAGTTAAATGTGATAAGAAAAAAGATTAAGTTATACTGACAAACATCACAAAGATTTTGAGCATATGGAATAAAATCTGATTTTCTTATCCCAGCTCCAAATGTCACAAACACCTATGCAAGGTCTTAATGGTAAAGAAGCGGATGCATTCTTAAGTTCCATATGTCTAGTACTCTCAAGATCCTCCATGACGCTAAGGTTGTCTTCAGGTTTTCAGCATCCTATAATTCCTCATATACCCCTTCCCTTCTTAAGTAATGACTACTTTTATAAATAGTAAGTGGAACAGCATCCTCTAATCATCATTAAAACAACAATACCTGCTAATACATAATTTAAAAAGCCTAGGTATCTTGCTATGTCCTTCCACATCCAATCTCCATGCTCTGAGTATTGAATGAATACCACCCCTCACCCCTCATCCTCTACATTCCACTAGTCCCCATCCTCTCCCATCCCTCCAGATCCAGGTTGGGTTTAGCCAATCAGAATGTTCTCCAGCCACAAGAAAAAGAACAAGACCCTCCTGCCACATTTCTACGGGTTTGCTAGATTCCTCTACTGAGAATTTCATCTCCTATTTGGAAGCCCCTCCATAAAACTGTTCTCAACCGATAAAGATAGTGTTGTACCCTAGGGCTAGTGCTGGTAGGGAGTCCTTACAATTCCTAGGGTGTAAGAAGCAAGGGGAACAAACAGGATGGTTTTATGGAGAAGCCAAGATGACCCATCAGTCTTGAGCTTTGTGCCATTTACACAGATGTAAAAGTCTGGATGTTTAAAGGCAGGGCATCAGTGTTAGAAAGTCGATGTGTATCTAATCAGATGTCTCGCAGGAAGGAGATGGCACTCCCAAACCAGATAAGAGGAAGAGAGAGACTATTGGCTTCTACAATTCATTCATTCCTCCACATCCTATTTATTAGTGAGCCCTGTCAAGTCTACTTCTAAAATATATTTTGAAATTGTCCTCTTCTATTTATCTCTCCTGCTACCCGACTAATTCAGGTCAACCTCCTTTCCTACCTGGTCTCCCTGCTTTCTCTTGATTGCGATGGTCTTTATGAGCTTATTCCCTACTTTGTGCTCTCCCACAACTTCAATCCACATAGTAAGCAGAGAGATCTTTTAAAAACACAAATAGGTGATGCAATTCTCACTTAAAATGCCATAATGGCTTTCCCATTTCAATTTGGTTTAAGTGAAAATGCCTTACAGTGGACTGCAAGGCCCAACAGAAATGCCTCTGCCTGGTTTTCTACACTCATTATGCAAGTGTGCCCACCTTTTTAGACACACAGTTTTCCTTTTTCTCCTAAAACAAATTGAACTTTCTAACCTTGGGGCCCTTGCATTCACTCTTTCCCTTACCTGATACACCCTTCTCCAGGGATTCTCCAGAAATGATTTGTGCCATCCTTCCTCTCTAGCATGGACTTCCTTCCTTTGTAGCACTGATCGGTTGTCATTCTGTTCATGTGGTGTTTGTTTATCGTATGTCTCAGCCCATTGAAGTGTCAGGTAGATGAAGCCAGAGACTTTATTTACATTGGAGATAAACCTAGAATAGTCTGGCTCATCATTCATACATTAGTAACTATTTGGTTGTTGATTAAATGAATGAATGTCACGTCATTTAACCCTGCTTCCATTTTCACAAGGGACTTCTCACATAGTCCTAACTGCACAATGTTCCTACACTGTGCCTTTCTTTTCCACTTCTGTAGCCTGAATATTTATATTGTCTTAGAGCAATTCAAAATTTATCTCTCTCCATGCTCAACTGCTAAGGTCAATGACATTTCTCCTAAGATACAAGGTATAGAATATTCCCATTAACTAAGAACATTGTCCAATGACCAGGCAATGACATCTACTTTCTATCACTACAGCTAAGTTTTCTTATTAATGCCTATGTTCTCCATTATGTCTGGTTTCCTTGCTCAACATAATGGCTTGAGATTTATCTATGTTCTTATGTGCATCAATAGTTTGTTCCTTTTTATTGTTGAGTTGTTTTCCCTTGTATGGTCATACCACTATGTGTTGATTCATTCACCTGTTGATGGACATTCAGTTTGTTTCTAGTTTGGGGACATTATGAATAAATCTGCTATGCAAATTAGTGAACAAATCTTTGGTGTTGATATATATTTTCATTTCTCTCGGATAAATACTTAGCAGTAGAATGTGGGGTCATGATCAGAAAGATGTATGTTTAAATTTATAAAAAAACTATCAAAGTTTTCTAAAGTGATTATGCTAATTTTCATTTCCAGCAGCAGTGTTTAAGTATTCCACTTGCTCCATATCCTTGCAACACTTGGTATGATTTGTTTTAAAAATTTTAGCTATTCTAACAGGTGTGTAGTAGTGTATCATTGTGCTTTTAATTTACATTTCCTTGATGAATAAAGATGCTGAGTATTTTTTAAAGTTCTTATTATCCATTCTTTTATCTCCATTTGGGAAGTATATGTTTTTTTAATGAAAATAATTTCATTGACTGTTTGCTGCAATTATTTGCAAAATGGCTGAACTCTCAAGTATACAGCATGTTTATCAACAAATTTTAGCTTCAATGAAACGATTATATGATTGAGTTGAATTCTAGTAGCATTCATAGTATACTGCATTTTAATACAGGAAACTACCATCTTGTTTATAGGCATGCTTTTAATTTTTTTGAAAGGAACAAAGGCAGTCTGACTAGCACAACATACCAATACCCTCATACTGAACAATTTTCATTCTTTTAATTTAAAATTATAATCAAGATTAGGACATCTTATTCTCCTTAAGATACATGTAATCTGAAATCGGCACAGCAAGAGTTTGCCACAAATGCAAGGAGATAGAGACGGCTCATTTGCTTTTAAAATGGATACGATGAATATAGCACATGTAGGGAAAAATTAACTAACTGGAACAAAATGTTTTTTGCAACCATTCCTCTCAGCTGGAAACACTACCATCACTTTTTTTCAGATAGTAAGAAAGTCCATAAACTGAAAATGCCTCTATTTTTAATCACTTAAATCTTATCTTAATTCTGAATTTGACAGAGTAGAACAGCTACTCATGAAACTTCATATTCTTCAAAAGTACAATCTTATCTTTTTGCTAATCCTACAGTGAAAATATCTATGATTCAGCATGTTTTTAATAACAAAAAATGCTATTACATTTTGAATACAAGATATATCCCTGTGTATGAGTAGCCAGTGCAAGTAGGGAATGTATCATACTACGCTCAATATATTGCATTAGGAAGTTACATAATGGGAAGTGTAGTGGGGGATACTTCCCTTTCTAAATACCATGATTTTGGTTTTGTTGTGATTTGTTCACTCTTCCTCAAGCTACATACCTCAAACTCATCTCATCCTCTCAGTACCCACATTCAATTGGGGAAATTTCTTAAAGGATAGCTTTTAGTTATTTTCTTCTGATTCTTCTCTCTTGCCAATTACTTCAGTTCTTACCCATAGCTTCTCTCTCTGCCAATTCCCAAAGCTTCATAATGAACCTTTTGACTTCACTTGCTCCCACAGCTCATCAGAACTCCGCATTGTCACCAAAGTTACCCTTTAATTGCTTATACCCTCTCCTAAAGCATTTAGTACTCCCTATTTCCTACCATGAAAAGCTCCAGTTCTTTGAGAACAAATAAAGAGACTTTTCAAATCTCACTATCAACCTATTCTATCCTCCACATCTTCCTTCACTATTACTCATTTCCAACACATGCTTCAGTTAGAAATTTTAATAGATATTAAATCAACATTCATATGTCTAGGTCTTTGCTTATGCCATTCCCCCTCCTTAGAATGTCTTTTCCTATTTCCCTTGTCAGATAAAATTCTCCTTAATTTTCAAGAATAAGCTCAATGAACACTTCTGTGGGACTTTCCCAAACTATCTCAGGCAGAATTACTCCTGCCCAGTTTTTCCACATAGTGTATATCTGCCTGTACTACAATCCTAATCACATTCTATGTTAATTATTGCTATATTTTTATTTTGTATCCACCAGACTCTGCAATGGATAGAGGACTAGGCAGAATGTCCTACTTACACCCCTAGCACAAATTAGAGGAGAGGAACTGTGTACTTCTGGAACAAAGCAGAATCTTAATTAATGACTGTTAATGCATGCAATATTTACACATTTAAGACTCACGGGATATACAGAAGTTATGACTATTGCTTCTTTTCTTTCTACTCTCATACCTATAAGGCATGCAGCTTTCTAACCTCACACTTAAAGCAACTATCAAAAGAAGAACAAACAAAACCCAAAATTAATAGAAGGAAAGAAATCATATAGATCAAAGCAGAAATACACGAAATAAAAACTAAAGGAAAAAAAAATCAGAAAAGATCAATGAAACTAAAAACTAGTTCTTTGAAAAGATAAACAAAATTGATAAACCTTTAGCCAGACTCATCAAGAAAAAAAGGGAGAGTGCTCAAATCAATAAAATCAGAAATAAAAAAGGAAACATTACAGCTGACACAACAGGAATACAAAGGATCATAGGAGGCTACTACAAGTAACTATACACCAATAAAATGGACAACCTAGAAGAAATGGGCAAGGTCTAAGAAATGTACACTCTCCCATGTCTGAACTAGGAAGAGATAGAAAATGTGAACAGAACAATTACCAGTACTGAAATTGAATATTTGTTTTAAAATCTCCCAACAAAGGTCCAGGATCAGATGTCTTCACAGGTGAATTCTACCAAACATTTAAAGAACAGTTAATGCCTATCCTTCTAAGCTACTCCAAAAATTGCAAAGGAACACTTCTGAGCTCATTCTATGAGGCCGTCATCACCCTGATACCAAGATAAAGATATTACAAAAACAAACAAACAAAACCCCCTACAGGTCATTTGTGACAACATGGACAGAACTGGAGATTGTCATACTAAATGAAGTAAGTCACACAGAGAAAGACAAATATCTTACAATATCACTTATTTCTGGACTGTAAAAAAATGATACAAATGAACTTATTTACAAACCAGAAATAGACTCATAGACATAGAAAACAAACTTATGGTTATCAAATGGGAAAGAGTGGGGAGGGATAAGTTAGAAGTTTGGGATTAGCATATATAAACTACTATATATAAAATAGATAAACAACTGTATAGCACAGGGAACTACATTCAATATGTTATAATGACCTATAATGGAAAAGAATCTGAAAAACAATAAACATACATATGTATATGTGTAACTGAACCACTTTGCTGTACACCTGAAACTAACAACATTGTAAATCAACTATACTTCAATAAGAAAAGATACGAAATGTTCAAAATTATCTTTGTTTCAACATAGCCTTTACAAATGTACAATGGTAAACTGACCATTTAAAAGTGTAACTTCCATCAATGTATACAATAGAGGAACAATAAAACTGAAAATGGTTCACTCAGCACTTTATAAAATAATCAATCAGTGCAGTAGGCAAATTTTAGGAATACCATTTCTACATTGAAAACCAATAGGTGCCACAACAATTGTGTCCACTTAAAGAAGCAGATTTGACAGGATCTGGAAAACTAGAGAGGGAAAGTCCCCTTCAAAGGAGACAGTGGTACTCAACTTTGGCAGCACATGAGTACAATATTGCCAGATCTTCAGTTTTTCAAGAGGTAAAATGGATGCATATGGAGATCTCTCAATTTTTAAATGTGGGCAGCCCCTTGATACAAAACAAGAAACAGCCTATGGTCTAAACAAAATATATCTTCAAGTCTCATATACCAGCAGCGGTCGTTTTTAACTTATTTTAAGTATGCTGAAGAAGTTCAAAGTTAGTGACCTTTCAAGAGTCACTCTAAGACTAGGATTCACTGGCATATTTGCAACAACTATTTTGTTTTGAACTACATTTGGCAAGGGGTATAAAAATAATTTTAGAAGTTCAGAATTCCACACACAAAAAAGTTGCTACTGTTCAACTTTAAGAATATACTTCATCCAGGTTTTATGGATTTTATTCAAGCATAAGGAGAGGCCCCATACAAATCTGGTTTGGGGGGTGCCTTTCTGTTTTGTGACAGATCTTAATATTCTTTTTCTAGCACCTGAGGACTTACTGCTTTTTTGCAGCTCCATCCTCTTTCCCTATTAACAAGATGCCTATCCTCTGTGGACTAACTTTGGCTCATACTTTGAACCAAAGCAAACAAATTAAACCAACTTACTAACAACAAAATGAGAACTGTACATAAAATGGCCTTAATGTATTACCCTTTTCATGCTTGTTGGACTATTTTAAAGAGGGTATTAGCTCACAGGCTAGGTAATGGCCAGGTAAAGGACTAGAACATAAGCCTGCTTGGCCCTCTTAAAAACTTATAGGGAGCAGATAATTCTAGGCATCACCCAAGCATCATTATGATTTTTAAAAATTCCTAGTAAGCTCTTCAATTCTCTGAGCATGCCATGGATTATTTAATTTACTCTTTGTTAAAATGCCAGCATCTGTTGCCAACTCTCAAAAGGAAATACTGATTGAGAATCTATAGTTACTCATAGTCTCTATGGAAACAGGATGACATCACTGAAAGTCAAGGATTCATGTAATACTACAACAATATTCTTTAATATTATTATGATTTATTATACTAGCATTTCATCATCTGTGATATGAAAATAACATATAAGGAAGTACTTTGTAATCTGTGAGACAATATTCAGGTGATATTAAGAACAGCATGAATGTTATAAGATCTTTTAATACTCTGAGCCTAATTAGCACAGCAATTATGTTGCCTGAGTTTCCCTTTATGCTCTCCACATCACAACAATGAGCTCTTACAACCTGTATCAGGAGAAGCTTCCATTTGTTATTCTCATAATGCTAACATGGGTCAGGGAAATTGAAGGCTGAGGGTAGAATAGAGGAGAAGGGCTGGTGATGAATGCTTCTACTCTGCATGAAAATATTCTCTTTTTCCTATGAATACCCAAGAGGTTCCACTAAGTCCCTATGGATATCCGTGACCTCCGATTTGGTGATATAATCTGATTAAATCTTGAGTCCAGCTAAGGGTGTCAAGTTTGATAACACCCGTAAATGAAATGTTAAGTGTCTAATTTATGCACACTAGATCATTTCACTTTTCATTTTATTTTATACCATACTGGGGTAAAAAATTCTCTTTTACCTACTTTGAGGAATTTGTAACACTTGTACTTACACACACATACACGTATACAGTAAAAGGAAAATGGTTTTGATTACATGTAAAAGACTATAGGATAAAACAGATAAGAAAACTTTGACATTGGAGTTGAGGGGGCTCGGCACAGATTTTTTAAAATTAAAAAAAAATCCAATTTAGCAAAAAAACATCTCTTTCATTAATAAAAGCAGTAAAATTATTTTTGGTATTTCTCTTGCTTTCTCTTTTAAATTTTTATACTTATGGCTTTATACTTTAGCCATAAAATTAAACTTTCTCCTATGGAAAAAACAAACTAATCCACTGAAGTCATTCATCATCTAATATTCAATAATGTTCAATAAAAGAAGTTCTAAATATTTTCAGTATTATTTTCAATAAAGAATGAAGACAGATAATAGTAAATTTAATAAATGTTACACACAAGAAATGAAAATGATGAAATAAATGCACTATTTCCTTTCATTTTGACTGACATTAGTGAAGCACTTAACATTAAGTGAAATTAAGCGTAAAGTTCAGTAACTTTTTAGTGCCATATTTAAGGAATGCTACTATAACTTCAATAGCTAAGAGGGAGCATAATTTTTTTGAAAGAGCATTGATCTGGGAATAAGAAAACTTGTGTTCCAGTTGGGTGCAGTATCAAAGTGGTTGTGTGCTCTATACAAGTCACTGAGTACCTTTGGGCTACAGGGTAAAATGAGGCAACAGATTATACCTCAGATCCCTTCCAGTGTACTATTATACAGTTCCTACATACAAGTATGTATCCCATTTGGACATTTTAAGCAATCTAAGTTCTCCTAGCAGGTTAATAAATGTGCATCAGTTTTATCACATATAGCTTCAAACCACGACTGTTTTCAAATGAGTAAGTTAAGCAGTTGCTTTATATCTTCTTATTCAACGTGTGGCCCCTGGACCAGCAGCATCAGCATCACCTGAGAGCTTATTATAAACACAGATTCTCAGAATCCACTCCAAATTTACTCAATAAGAACTTGCATTTTACAAGATCCCCATGGGACTCATGTGAACAATTAAGTTTGGGTAACATGGCTTAGTACTAGACTCCTTCCACCAAATTATTCCTTGTATGCATTTTGAAATTTTAAAGATCATCTTATAGTCCTCATTTTATAATGAGAGATACATTTGGCTTAATACACTCTTAAATTTTAAATATTTCTGGCTGAACCACATCTCAGTGTGTGCATTTCTGACTTTTTGCTGTTAGTATTAAAGGTCTAAAAGTGAGGAGGCTAAAAATAGTATAAGGGTGAAGAGCATAGAGAATTTCCACTGGATGGTTTTCTGTCATTAAATAATAGAATGGGAACCCTGGGTGGTAAAGGATTATCCTAGGAGAGACAAGTAACAGATGAGGGTGAAAGAAAGAAAGAGTGTTCATTTGTTCATTCAACAAAGCATTTGTAGAGCACTGTGGTAGATTGGAGGATATAGCAATGCTCAGTCACTGACCTCATGGAACTTGTATTCTAGCAAGGGAGACTCCAAATTTGAAATGATACCCCGTAAGTCCCCTCATCCAGGTAGAAATGCTTTACATTTTCAATCATGGCCTCAGAGAGCACAGTCATCTTAGAAGAACAGTAAGTTTTTTTCCCTTGGCATTTCCTATTTTAATTGTTTTGAGATTGTGCCCTACATCCTAGTCTGGATGGGCAATGTTTGCTTCACATATTTTATAAAGTAAGGTAAGAATCTGGATTTTCATGTTGGCAAATTGTTGGCAACAATTCACATGTTTGTATGCTTTCAAACTACAATGCAGCTTAAACAAAATAGGTATGTGAGCAACATGTGCTTGTTGGATGTAGCTTATTAGCCTCAGCAGAAAAATTTGCTGTAATAGTGATATTAACTTCTTTTTCAAGGAATATACATCTCACATATATTTCATTTATATAAAGCATAATCATACAAATGAAAACCTTTTGTAAGATTAATTTATACAATTCTTCTAATAAACATTGAAAATGTGCCAAGAATTGGAGTGATGCAGATTTTCATAGAAGTCCTTTTTTAATAAGTAAAAAAAGATTAACAATATAATTATACATAATTAGATATATAATATATATTTACATTAATCTATATCTAATATAATATAATTAGACAGTATCAACTTTATTGAATATCCGGAAGAATTTTTTTTTAAAAAGACCTAACTCACAGTAATATATGCTTCATTGAAAGCTTTTCATAATTATTCTAATTGCTATTTCTATCATGATTTATAAATTTCAAATTTGGGGGGGAAGAAAATGAGAAAAAGTTTCGGCTCTGTTGGTGATTTCCACTGTCACTGATTTCTTATGGATTTGCTAAGCCAATACATTTGGATTTCAAGTCACTTGAAATAATGGGGAAAAAAAACAGTATTGTCCAATTTGACATGTCCACGTGATTTGTGGATAATAAAATAAAAGGGCAAATTTTTTCAACCAATTTTGCCTGTAATTAAATACGAGTAACTATATTCAGTCAGTAATAGTTACCCAATCTCATACCAGCACAAAGACAAAGTAGAACACAAAAGCTTCTCCTGTTTAGATGAACGTAAACAATTTTGCCCTTGCTTTCAAGGCACAGACTTTACACAGTAATTATGTTTAAATATAGTTCTGTTGTTTTTAAACAACAGATGGCTGCCATCTTGTACACTTCCACTTTTATAGAAATATTTTATTGTTGACTGAGAAGCCCAAAAGGATTTTCATTTGTTATTCTGCCTGCATGTCTTTTGAATTGTACAGTAGACTAGTTCGGGGAAAAATAAGATCTTGAATATGAACGGTGAAAATGTGGTAGCTCTCCATCCTTGAATTCACATGTGATTAGTGTCAGGGTTAGGGAAGGTGCCAACAGTAGAGGTCAGGTAATTTTTAGACCAGGTGTGAGTCTTAAGACTCAATTAGCAATAAAGTAAAGCAAGCATGACCAAAGCCAAGTTTTATTGTACCTGATCCCTAGTGAGTAATCAATCCATATCTGTTGAATGAATAAATTATATTCAGTAATATGTTGTCTGAAATTATAAATCTCAGTTTTTCTAATGTAAGTCTTTGAAAGCAAGCATTTAAAGCTATTTGCTCCATCAGATATCCAGCTATAAGGAGCTTAAATTTGGTTGCTAAAATGTTTATTTTAAAGATGTGGGTGTTTGGCTTAATACAGACGAAGTCTGAAGTTCTTTTATTTGATGACTTATGTTAGGTCATTATCAATAACCAATATTCTGAGGGTACCCACAGCTGATCAAGAAGAGACTATAAACCAAAAAATAGTCTAAATTACTTTCTCCAAATATCTTTCAACTATCTTCTCTTCCCCGGCCCCCTTTCCTCAGTTCTAGGAAATTGCAAAAGTCTGGAATACAAACTTTTATTTCCAACTGCAGAAAATTATGAAAACAAGGCACAAAGGGAATGCAAAAGTGAATGAGAAAAATTCCTTGACCTTGTGGAATTTAAAATGTAGTTTGGAAAGATGATGAATGACACAATATAAGGAGGAGTAAAATAAATGCAGAAGAGCAGGAGAAGTAGGTAAAAGTGATGGCAGTACAAAGAAAAAGGCAGGATGAATTGTGAGCATGATGACCAGAAAAGCAACAGGCTGGACAGAAGAACTGTGACTGCTGATTAAGGGAGGAAGAGCATGCTGGCATCTTTAAAAGCCCTGAGTGCCTGCTACTGCCAGGAAACAACAAGGAGGAGCATGTGTCCAGGATGTGAAGACAGGGGCAGGAGATGAGGAGGGATCTAGATATATGACGAGAGAATTTAGAGGTGATGCTCTTTATTCTATAGGCAGGACTGTGTCATTCAATAGGTGTGTGTTGAGGACGTCATGATCAAATATTTATGGAAGTCAATTCTGGTGGAAGTGAGAAAGTAGTAAGTTCAGCAATAAGTTATTGAGACCTGAATTAATTTGAGTATGAAATGCAGGAGAAGGATTGAGAGGGATATGGAGATAGGAAGGGACAGATCAAATGGGTATGGTGATCACTAAGGGTAAAGAAGACACAGAGGTGCAAAGAGGGTGGGGTCCAAAATCACCGTCAGTCTTTGGTTTTCTAACTGGACGGATGTGGATTTCATCAAGTTATTCAGGGAAGACAAAAGAAAGTGTACATTTTAGTTTATATATATAAAATGCAGCAGCTACTCCTCGGCTTAATACTTGTTATTCCTTCTATCAGGAACACTGTTCCCAGCCCTGAACACTTATGTTAACTCTCACTCATCATTCAGGTCTCAGCTAAAGCATTATTTACTGGTTCAAGTCTTCCCTCAGCACTGAGACAGTAATAGGTGCCCTTACCATCGGTTCTCATTTTATGCTCTACTTCTTTTTAGCACTTAGGATATTTGCTTCTTTATTCTATGCCTGTTATCCCAATGGACTGAAAGCTCCAGGCAGGTCTTGTTCATCAGTGAATGACCTTCACCTAAGACTCTACTTTCATACAAACTTGTTCAGTAAATTTTCAGTACGTGAATGAATAGCTGATGAATTTGTCAAAGGGGTGAGCTATGGCATATGACCTGTCTGTGTTTCCATTTTGCTTCTTACAGGGTAACTATTTCCACTCCAAGCACAGCAGGACACGAAAAGCACACCATTCTCCCAAATTCTTCCTTTCCCTCTTTGCTTGTCTAATCATCACAGGAGATTTTTCTCTTTCAAGTGAGCTCTTGAACTCACTTGTAACCTCCCAAACAACCCCAAAGACAAATAAGTGTAGGAGTAATGAAAGTAACAACTAGGAAATGGAAAGTGAATTAGGATATAATGACTCTCTCAAGCTCAAGGCCTTTAAAAATGCCCCAATTCTCTGTTTACAATTCCCACCAAAGTCTTCATCTGCCTCCTGTCTTTCCCTAATTAGATCTGCTTTCCTAAAGCATCATGCTGAAGGCATGAAAGAAAAATCCTACTCAGTGATGTTGTTTAGGTTTCAACTACCCTTATTTTATGTCACTGCTTTTCTTATTTTCCTTTTTTCTAGTTCATTCATTCTATTTTTAAAATTTTTATTTTATTGTGGTAAGAACATTTAATTTGACATCTACCTTGTTAAATTTTTAAGTGTAGGGTACCATATTTTAGATTTAGGTACAATGTTGTACAGAAAATCTCTAGAACTAATTCATCTCACTTAACCAAAACTTTATTTCCTTTGATTAGTGACTCCCTATCTTCTCCTCTTCCCAGTCCCTGGCAACCAGCATTCTACTCTTTTTTTTTTCTTCTCAAATGACAGGAATTTATTTTTCTCACAGTTCTGGAGGCTGGAAGTCCACCATCAGGGTCCCTTCAGGGTTAGTTTCTGGTAAGGAGCCTCTTCCTGGCTGCACACCACCACCTTTTCTCTTTGTCCTCACATGACCTTTCCTCTGTGTGCATGCATACAGAGATCTCTGGTGCCTCTTCCACTTCTTACAAGGACACTAGTCCTATGGGATTAGGGCCCCGCCCCTATGACCTCATTTAACTTTATCTGCTTAAAGGCTTTATCTCTAAATGTGGTCACAGTGGGGGTCATTTACACTCTGTATGAATGTGACTATTTCAGATACCTCATATAAGTGAAATCATGTATTTGTCTTTCTGGGATTGGACATTATTTTCATTTAAAGGCACACTTCATTTGTAGTACAGTAAGGGAAAGTATGTTTAAGCTGGAAATGCAACCATGATTACAATGTCGATTTTACAGCCATTTAAAAATAATGGAAACAGTTGATTTCAAAAGAAAATGTGACTGAAGATACAATTTAAAGCATATCAAAGTGGAGCTACTTGGTGTGAAGTCAAGCTGTTGAGAGATTCCATCATAGCCTCTATATCTTCCCAACACAAGCACCTCACTAGTACTTAGTGAAGAAGTTTGAACTACATTCTCTCTATAGGAACTACATTATCTCTATGGGAACACCATTTTCTAGTTCAAAATTTCTGACACCAAAATCTATAAAAAAATTCTTTCTATAGTGGGGGATTTTTATGTATAAAGAGGCATATCCACTAGAACCTTATAAACCTTAGGAGTTTTAACCAGCTGGAGAGAAATATAAGCAGTTGATACCTTAGCATGATACTCATGTATATTTTAAAATTCCTATTATTGTTGCTTTAATGTTGTTTATGAAAGGGGCTTATTTATATCTTTCACTACTATTCACTTTTTCCCTCAGCTTTATGAGATATAATTGACATATATCATTGTGCGAGTTTAAGGTATACAATCTGTTTATTTGACACACTTATATACTGCAATATGTATAAATCAGTTTTTCGCTAATTACATACAAAGTTCACAAAGCTCCAAAGACTTTTCTCCAAGACACCGGATATGTTCCTGCTTCTGATGTTGTTGTGAACATAGTGACAAATGGAAATTTTCCATTAAATATAAAATGTCTTATAGGCACAGATCAGTCCCCTGTAGCCCTGCAAGTACAGTTAATTTTTTAGATCAAATCACCTTTAGAAAGTCCACTTTTTTCTAAAAAGGAACAGATTAGAAGTTATTCATCTGACTAAGCCACTCTTTTTTTTTTTAACAGATATAGAAAGGGAGGGTGGGAAGGAGGGAAGTAGGAAAGAAGGTAGAAAGGAAGGAGAGAAGAAAGATAGGGAAAGAGAGAGAGGGAAGGAGAGATACTACTGAAGGGTTTCTACAAATTGTGGGTTCTCATATTTTAACACCTATATTACTAGACTGGTACAAGTACCTCTATGTAAGCGTGTGTTCTGTATATAGTATTCCATATAAATGTATATAGTACTGTGTGTTCGTGGGGCATAAAATGAGAAGACCACAAATGTACCCTCTTAAACATGATCTCCTTAATCTATTTTAGGTCAGGCCTTGTAGGTATGTTTTTAATTAGGTTATTTTTCCAGCCCCTAGCGTAGCAAGATATACACGTAAATACACATGCATGTGCATGCAAATGCGTACGCACACGCACACACACACACAGCTCCCAAGGCATTTATTAACCCAGGTGAATTATAAAAATGTCTATATCATCATTAGCCTATATTCTTTCTGATGTAGTTGGATTCGTAATTAAGTTATAAGCTTTAATCTCTAAATCTAAATGCAATTATGCTAAAGCTACCACATAGTGACAGATAAAAGATCCTCGCTACATAAACTCAAAGGGAAATTTCTCAGCCACAGAAATATTTGGGCGCAGAGAGAGAAGCAATGGTAGTTCAGCGCACCCAGTTCGTGAATAAGTAGCAAGGGCTAAAGCAAGAGGAGGAGAAACTAACCAGCGTTTGCTTTTACTGCTGACCCCTTTCTTTTCGCCCTCCGCACCAATGAACAATAGAAATTAACTTCTACCCTCTATACTGAACAAAAAACATTTAAAATCTAAACTTAAAATAGACAACCCAATACTGTTTGAATTTAGTATAAAGCACAGTAATGGAATTAAGGGCTTTCCTTGATATTGACTCTCATCACAGACCTCAGAACTTCAAATAAAAAGATCAGAAGGAGGACCCTTAAAGGGCTTCGGCATCCTTCACAAAGCTTGACACTTACATAAAGATACACACGTACATACAGATGTACAAACAAGGAAAATTCATAAGTGGTTTGTAATGGTGATATAATCATTAATATATAATATTAATATGTATTCCCTTTATGAGTGAACAGATATGGTCTGAGAAGATTCTGTCACACCATAACTATCTCATCATAGTAATTATATAATAAAATTGACAATGAATTAATTTTCTATTTTGAAAGGCAGAGTTAAAATTCCTTTTCAAGGATAGAAAAAATTGTACTTTAATGTGGTCTAAGTCAGAAATATTGTGCTGTATTTTTCTCTTCAAGATAGAGCTGGAATTGATGGTAGAAGCAAATACATAAATAGCACAGGTTAAAGTGGTTTGCTCTTTATTATTTATTCAAGCCATTACAGTTTCTTATGATTTTCTGAACACTGACCCCAAACTACTGAAGAGCAGGAGAGAAAAGAGAAGTTTGTTTTATTTTTCTTACACCTTCCTTCCTGCAATGGGAATTCAAACAACAGACAAGCCCTACCAAATATCTTATCTATCGCAAAGCCTTGACTGATTTCATGTGCAGATGTGCTGTCAATGACGGGGTTTAAATCTGCAAAACATGGAATAATTACTTTTTTCTCCCGTTTATTTAGGGAAAATTCATTCAGTGCAACTTTCTTTATCTGAAATGATATAGCAACATTTTCCTTTGAAAAACACAAGACACTGTTAGAAAGGGAAGAGAGTGAACCGAAACCACAGTCACAATCACCCATGTCTATCAAAGGTGGACACATATTTTTTGGGCAAAATTTTATCTCTGAAAACACACATACTCTCCTGCTTCAAATATTTTAAACTTGGAGGTGACACTTGGGGTAGCATAAAACCTTCTAGCCCATATGATCAGCATTCATTTTCAGGGAAAAGACCTGGCAGGCACATATAGTAAACAGCCTGAAGAATATTCTCAGGAAACAATAATTTGCTTGAATTATGGATGTTGAAATGGAATTACCACTTCCATAGAGCACTCAATCCCGATTCCATCCTGTGGAAAATCTCAAGAATTCTACACTCCCACAAAACATGACATAAATCAATACTTTGTTAGTGGATGGAAATGCCCTTTAGATATCAATAGATGTGCAAATTCGAATCAGAAAGTCAGATATTAGAGACACTTACTTAATTTTGTACACAAAAAGCTATAGTGTGTGGAGTTGCCATTTATTACATAAATGTATTTGAAGTTTCTACCAAGATAATGGTGGTAACAGACACCACTTAGCAGGATAGAGTAGTAAAGCACGCTCTCGAGCCAGTCTGCCTAGATTTGACTCCTAGCTCTGTCACTATTAGCTCTAACATTTAGCCTTTAAGTGCCTTCACTTTCTTATGTGCACAATGTGGAAAACAATAGTGTCTACCTCATAGGCTTGTATTAATCATGTAAAGAACTGACAATAATGTCTGGCATATAGTGAACTTTCAATAAACGTAATCTATACATTTCTATACTTCACAGTGTATCTCATATCAGGTTTCCTTACTGGTATGCACTTTAGCTTTCTCATTATATCGTTTGTTCCTTACATTGAAAAATAAGTTGGAAGGGAGACTTGTTCATTTTCTTTTATTTTGTTATAAGAATGGAGGAAGGCAGGAAGAAAGAGAGATGCAACCAAATTTCAGTTTCAACCTTGGTATTGGACCAAATTTTGTTATTTGGTTTCATACTGGGTTTTGGAAGGCTAAATGGCCATATGTCTCCAATTTTATTTCCTCAGATTATACTTCAACAATGATTGTGTAGTTGCCATCCAGCAGAATAATGTCAGTCACATAAAGAGGCATGTTATTAGGTTTTATTGTCAAATACTGAATATCCACTTTCAAATACATTCAAATATTTTAGATGTAACTTAAAGTGAAAATCTCTTTATATGCTTTGTGGATTTAAATTTTATCAGTCAGTTGATTTATAGAAGTATATTTACTGGGAAGGTAAAATGTGTAACCACTTTGAAAAACAGTTTTGCAGTTCCTCAAAAATATGACCGAGCAATTCCATTCATGGTATATAATCGAGAAAACTGAAAACAAACTTGTCTACACAAAAATGTGTCCATGAAAGTGCATGGCAGCATTAGTCATGGTAGCCAAAAAGAAGAAAAAAACCTAAGTGTCTGTCAACTAGATTAAAACAATGTGGAACAGCCGTACAGTGGAAGATTATTCAGCAATAAAAAGGATAAAATACTGATACATGCTACCACTGGGATGGAAGAACCCTGAAAACATTATCTTAAATGAAAGAAGCCAAACACAAAAGGTCACATTTTGTAGGATTCCATTCATATGAAGTGTCCAGAAACGACAAAGTCATAGAGACAGAAAGTAGATTAGTGGTTGCGAGGGGCTGGGGGGATGAGGGAATGGGGAGTGACTGCTAAGGCGCACAAGGTTGCTTTTCACGGTATTAGCAGGTAGATTGGAATGAGGCTGTACTGGACACCCTACTACAAAGATGATGGGGACCTGAGCAGCAGTAGTCCTGGGACTTATCTGTAAACAGAAACGTCCTCCACTAAAATTCACACCAGCTAGTAAATTCACAGGAGAAACGTGTATGAAAGCTTGTTCATGTTGTCTTTCAGATTAACTAATGTTTCTAGAGCCCTTAAAGCAGTGCCTCAGATATGCTAAGTGCTCTATCTGAGTGCCTGTTAAATAACGCAAATAAAAAGTGCAGACTCTTTAAAACTAAAGTTTAGAAAAAGAGAGAGAATGAGATACAATATCACTTTTCTCTTATGTCTAACATAAAATTAACATTTGTCACTAGGAAAATACAACCACTATGAAAAAGTAGGTATACATAGGAAGACACAGACCACATTTTGTACTCCACATACAGGTGACTTAAAAATCATTTTTCTTGTTGATCTCCAGTCAGATATTAGGCACTCAAAATGGCCTGGCAGGCTTTGCACACAGGTTTATGTATCTAAGCGATCACCAACGTCCAGTGTGCGATCTATTAGTCAATCAATACTAATTGGGAGCTCAAAAGGAGAGGGCATTGGGCTAACACTGAATCCTGAGCTGTGCACTTAGCACTAAAGACAGAACTGGGCTAGCTGCACATTTACTTTCATTTGAAAAGGCAAAATAAAAAGTATTTCTCTGAGCAATTTTAGTTTATATTCAGCAATTTTCCTTCAGCTTAAAATGCGCTTGAGAAACCTTATTAATCAGAAGATTCATGAAGTTCGAATCACTGCATCTAAAATATTTTTTCATTCCTAGCTTATTGAATTTTAAAAGAAGATCCATCATAACACTTGTCATAATAACATAAAAATAAGTATAATTTTTAAAGAGTTATAGTTAAACACTGTATACTATTTGGCTGGGGTCATGAAGTAGAAAAACAGAATTTTTCAAAATGGTGAATAAGGCTTAAAAGTCTTGATACATATAATGGAGTTTTTTTTTATTTAAAACTATTAAACAGAATAAACTTAGCAGAGAGATTTGTCACATTTGGAATGATCTAATTCGAAATGAAGCACCATGCAAAGATATATTTTAAAACATATAAGCAGTCTTATTTGCCTCAATTCTCTTCTTAAATTACTTTAGTGTTATGTAATAGTTTAAAACATCAGACACCCGAAGTTTATGGGCATAGTTTTGATCAATGAAAAATATTCATATTTATGTGCCTCCATTACCTTATTATTCTTGAAATCACATGTACACTTAAGTAAATGATGATTACTAGACTCAACATTAACTCTTGCCCATTTTGGACAATTCGTATTGCATTAGCCTTATAACAATCAGTAATTATATAAATTTGACATACTATAGACTTATTTCCTATATCATTTAGTTAGCAACTAATGCTAAACTGCCTTGTAATATATGCTGCATCTTTACTTCAAATTTATTCAATTTTTATATTGATTCCCACCTTTTTCTAGTTCCTTTCACCATTTAGATTATAATTTCCTTTGCAATACTAACAACACTTCATACCTTAGTTTATACTAGGATATCTTAATCAACAGTATTATTAAGAGTTAGGAGAATAGCTTGCCACACATAAATTGTAACATCTTCCAAATGAGTGGGGGGAAATGTGTTATGGCTAAAAGAGCAAAAGGACTTGACAATGGAGTTTGCTAATGTCCACTCCTTAAAAATGACAACTTAAAAATAATTTAAGTATAGTTGATTTACAATGTTGTGTTAGTTTCTGGTGTACAGCCAAGTGATTCAGTTTTATATATATATAAAAATATATATATATTCTTTTCTATTATACTTTATTGCAGGATATTGAATATGACTTTCTATGCTATACAGCTGGATCTTGTTTATCTATTTTATATATAGTAGTTAGCATCAGCAAATCCTGAACTCCTAATTTATCCCTCCTACCTCCTTTCCCCTTTGATAACAGTAAGTTTGTTTTCTATGTCTGTGAGTTTATTTCTGGTTTGAAAATAAGTTTACCTATATAATTTTTTAGATTCAACATATAAGTGATATCATTTGATACTTGTCTTTTTCTGTCTGACTTACTTTATTTGGTATGATAATCTCTGGGGCCACCCATGCTGTTGTAAATGGAATTATTTTATTCTTTTTTATGACTGAGTAGTAGTCTACTGTGTTGCAGCTTCTTTATCCATTCATCTGTTGGATTCCATGTCTTGGTTATTGTAAATACTGCTGCTGTAACACTGGGGTACATGTATCTTTTCAACTCAGAGTCTTCTCTGGATATATGCCCAAGAGTGGGATTGCTGGATCATATGGCAACTCTATTTTCTGTTTTTTAAGGAATGTTCATACTATTTTTCATTGTGGCTGCATCAATTTATATTCCCACCAACAGTTAGGGGGTTTCCTTTTCTCCACATTCTTTCCAAAACAATGGCAATTCTGTATTCATGATTAGTTGTGTGTGAATTTATACCACTTCTTGAAGGTGGCTTTAAAAATTAAACATAAGAAGCTACTTAAAATGGGTACCAATTGTTCAAGAACATCAAGGATATAAATATCAACAAAGGCTGGGAACTATTTTTATTTATTTATTTATTTATTTATATTTATTTATTATTATTTTTAAATTTTATTTATTTTTTGGTGGGGGGAAGACTTTATTTTATTTTTTAACATTTTTAGTGATTTATAATCATTTTACAATGTTGTGTCAAATCCCAGTGTAGAGCACAATTTTTCAGTTATACATGAACATATATATATTCATTGTCACATTTTTTCTCTGTGAGCTACCATAAGATCTTGTATATATTTCCCGGTGCTATACAGTATAATCTTGTTTGTCTATTCTACAATTTTGAAATCCCAGTCTATCCCTTCCCACCCCCCGCCCCCTTGGCAACCACAAGTTTGTTTGTATTGTATGTATATGAGTCTGTTTCTTTTCTGTATTTATGCTTTGGATTTTTTTTTTTAAGATTCCACATATGAGCCATCTCATATGGTATTTTTCTTTCTCTTTCTGGCTTACTTCACTTAGAATGACATTCTCCAAGAGCATCCATGTTGCTGCAAATGGCATTATGTTGTCAGTTTCTATGGCTGAGTAGTATTCCATTGTATAAATATACCACATCTTCTTTATTCAGCCATTTGTTGATCGACATTTAGGCTGTTTACATGTCTTGGCTATTGTAAATAGTGCTGATTACAGAAGACAAAATAGACATGCCTTGGGAATGTACTGCA